TCAGGGAAGTATTTTTCATTCATAATGGCAAGAACTGCAAGTTTTATGGGAAGATGTGTAAATGTATAGTTTTATATATTTTTTAATGATTTATAATTAATTTTATTGAAAATAACAATTTACTCTATCTTCCCTCTTGGTCAGGATCCTTCTGCATACTTTTTGCCATCCCAAGAAAATGAAAAATCTCTCTCAGTGTTGGCATCATGTTCAAAGTCCAGGATCTCATGATTTAAATCAGGTATAGGTGGGATGCTCTGGATCTGAATATCTCTGAACTGAATCACATGTTATCTGCCTCCCACACTTTAACATATGATGTTGGAATAAGGACAGGATAAACAAATTAAAATAGTTGCATTCAACAAGGAAAAACCTGAAAGAAACATAGAAATCACTGGTCTATAGCAAGAACCTGAAATTTTGCCAGGTTTCCCCTACAAAGAGACTAGCATATACTTTGGCTAGTCCCTGGTTCCCCACCTGGGAGTTTATCATTGATATACTGTAATAGATGGTCTTCACTCTGCTCTATGAATGCCTTCTTTGGCTTTTCTGATAAGTACTGGGAATATGTCCTTCTTGGTAGCTGAGTCGATTTTTCAACCTGCTTCCCACCTGTAATACCCAAACTACAGGTACACTTAGTACTTACTTTTTGTTTGTTTGTTTTGCCTCCTGCTGCTGCTGCTGCTGCTAAGTCACTTCAGTCGGGTCCAACCCTGTGCGACCCCATAGACAGCAGCCCACCAGGCTCCCCCATCCCTGGGATTTTCCAGGCAAGACTGGAGTGGGTTGCCATTTCCTTCTCCAATGCATGGAAGTGAAAAGTGAAAGTGAAGTCGCTCAGTCGTGTCTGACTCTTTGCGACCCCATGGACTGCAGCCTACCAGGCTCCTCTGTTCATGGGATTTTCCAGGCAAGACTGGAGTGGGTTGCCATTTCCTTCTCCAATGCATGGAAGTGAAAAGTAAAAGTGAAGTCACTCAGTCGTGTGACTGTTAGTGACCCCATGCCTCCTAGGTTATTGCAATAAATCAAATATTTTGTTGCTACATAATATGGGTAGTTGTTTCTCCAGCCTCTTATTACAGTTTCTTTATAGTTTTCTTTCTCTTACCACATAATCCCAAACCAAATGATACATATTTTACAGGTTTTTGAGAGCAGATGCCCATTTCAGGTATAATTTTTCTGTAAACTAGCAATTGGCACATTAATGATGAATGACAAGCCTCATAATATGACCCAAATCTCAGAGGCTCAAATAACAAGTGTTCATTTTCTTGATAATGATTGAAACAGTAATACTGCAGGTCATCAGGGGACTTGGTTCTAGGTCTCTGATTAGGTTCAGTTTTCTTCTAGGAGTTTTTCATTCTTCTTCAAAAAGTGATTATTTATGACATATATTTCTTCTAGGGAATGGCAGGAGCACCAGGATGCAAGCAAGATACACAGGGTATGTAAAGGCTCTGTTCTCAACATTGGCTAACTAAATGCCTGCCAACATTTAGTCAACCAGAGCAAGTCTCATGGCTAAGCATGTGGCTAAGCGTTAACACCATGGGGTGAGGGTTATTTTCTACCCACAGTTACATGTCACCTGAGATGAATATTAGAGCAGGGAGGGAATCAAGAATTGAGAACTGTTCAGCTAGGACACATACTAAACACATCAACTTGTACTTGTTGTTCAGTCATGTCCGGCTCTTTGCCACCCCATGGACTGTAGCATGCCCAGCTTCCCCATCCTAGCTTCCCCATCCTACACTATCTCTTGGATTTTTCTCAAACACATATTCATTGAATTGGTGATGCCATCCAACCATCTCATCTTCTGTTGTCCCATTCTCCTCCTGCCTTCAATCTTGCCCAGCATCAGGGTCTTTTCCAATGAGTTGGCTCTTCACATCAGGTAGCCAAAGTATTGGAGCTTCAGCTTCAGCATCAGTCCTTCCAAAGAATATTCAGGGTTGGTTTTCTTTAAGATTGACTGCTTTGATCTCCTTGTGGTACAAGGGACTCTTAAGAACAACTCGTATAAATGCTGTGAAGAAACTAAAGCAGAGTTTTACTTAGAGGATGCCTGAAAAGCTATTAAGAGTAGTTCCTTGGAGATGACATTTATACCAAGGCTGAATGCCTTTCAGGCAAAAGGAGCAGACAGTGCAAAGACCCAGAAACAGAGATAAGCTCAGGGTGATGGAGGAACTGAAATAAAACCATAGGTGGATGGTAGAAGATGAAATTGATGACATAAGCAGAGATTATTTAGACCTCTGTTATTATCACTGTTGGGCTTCCCAGATGGCACCAGTGGTAAAGAATCCATATGCCAATACAGGAGATGCAAGAGACATGGGTTTGATCCCTGGCTGGGTGGGGAAGATCCCCTGGAGTAGAAAATAGGATGCCACTCCAGTATTCTGGTTTGGAAAATTCCATGGACAGAGGAACCTAGTGGGGCTACATTTCATGGGGCCACAGAGTCAGACATGACTGAGCGACAGAACACATTATCACTGTTAGGGGCATTATCATATAACTGGATTTTCAGAGGATTGTTTACTAAATGTTGAAAAAATGTGTGTGTGTGTGTGTGTGTGTGTGTGTGTGTGTGTTCTATTGGTTGTCATGATAACCCATGAGTAGGGTAGCTGAAGTCAACCAGTCTGGAAAGTTTTATTCAGATTGAGTTGCATAATCCATTTTAAATAATTTACCTATTCACTCATTCTTATTGGAATATTGGCCAACTAAGTTATTTCAAAAGGAACACCTGAAAATGTAAGAACTCTTGACTAGAGACATACCAGCAAAAATACTCAATAGGTAAAATGGTGGCCTCTGGAAATAGTTGGCTTCTTAACAATTCCAGGTATTTCTTTTGCCCTGGGCTTCTGAGAACTAACTGCAGATATAAAGGAATCGGTGCCTTCTTTTTCTGCTTAGTCTCACTCTTGGGAAAAACCTCTTATTCTCTGGCTCCCTAGAGGGTTTTCTAGATCTGAAACAGCAACATCCCTGATTGTTGATGATCTTTTCCCCAGAAGTCTTTGTGCTGGTCCTTTGGACAAGGACGTAACCCTGGGTGTAAACCTCAAAAGTGTAATTCACGCCCTCAGGAAGTTCATGATTCATCAGGGTGTCAACAAGTTCAAGCGGGGCACACTCATGACCACAAACAGTGCACTCACATATAAAGTCACTCATATGTATCTCAAAATGAAGCAGAAACACAGAGATGCTGACCACTGAAATGCCCTAAGTCAACAGTCCCCAATCTTTTTGGCACCAGGGACTGGTTTCAGGGAAGATAATTTTTCCATGGACCAGGGAGCGGGGGTGGTTTCAGGATAATTCAAGCCCATTGCATTTATTGTGTACTTTATTTCTATTATTATTATAGCAGCTCCACCTCAGATCATCAGGTATTAGATTCCAGATGTTAGGGACCCCTGCCCTAAATCATGAGATCTTGAACACCTTCTAAAAATGACCATTGATCTTGGTCCATTGTGAAAAACTTGACTAAATGTTGGCTTTTAATAAGCCATATTTTCTTTCGCCATCATCTTTGTATAGACTTAAGGAGAAGAGGGGCTTCCCTGGGGGCTGAAACAGTAAAGAATCCACCTGCAATGTGGGAGACCTGGGTTTGATCCCTGTGTTGGGAATATCCTCTGAAGGAGGGCATGGCAACCCCCTCCAGTATTCTTGCTTGGAGAATTCTTATGGAGAGGAGCACGGCAGGCTACAGTCCATGGGGCCGCAAAGAATCAGACATGACTGAGCGACTTAACAAGCACAGCACAGTAAAAGAGCTATTCTCCTTTCAAACATGTGAAGCCAGGAAATCCAAACCAGCCACCCAGAGGAGCGGGTCCTCTCCCTGGGTCACAATAACACCTCTACAGTTGTGCTCTTGACTTCTATAAAGAACGACCAGTGAAACTGGTGAAATCCGTAGCTGTAAACTTACACTGCAGCATCTTTTAGCAAGAAAGGGACTGTGTCTAGTTGAATCAGAGTAGGCTGGCTGTTGGAGCTCAGACGAAATCATGTGGTTTTGGGGGGGAAATAAATGCGACAGTGTTTATCGCACACACATGTGTTTGTCAGAAGACTTCAAAGCAGTGGGCAGAGAGCAGTGAAGCATGACCCCTTGTCCCAGTGGCTGCACCTCTTCTTTTTAGGTGAGGCCCAGAGGAGGTCATCAGCGCCAAGGCAGCTGAGGCTCTGTTCAGCTCCTGTGCCACAAGGTAGGGAAGGAATCCTGCCAGGAGGAGGACTTGGGTCCTGGCTCCAAACCATCTCCGCGGAATCCAGCCGCCAGCACTGCCCAGAGAAGAGAGCACGCTGAAGAAAGCGTCCAGCCTGGGCGAGTGGCCGGCTACAAACCTATAGGACGGTTCAGTCAAAGGCACTGCCTCACTCTGTCCTGCACCGCTATTGTCCCTTGGAACACATGCTGCTAGGAGACAAAGAGGACATGCATTTATTTTCAAGCGTAGGACTTTGGAACCACTTGGGAAGAATATTCTTGATTGAGAACCAAAACATTCCATGATGCTTAACAAACCTGCAAATTGAAAAATCAGCATCGGCCTGTGCAGCCGGGAGAAAGGAGAAGGACCTATACCCTGAAAAAAATTTTTTTTTTCCAAAATAGCCCTTAAATGATATTTGTGTGCATTTGCAAAATTACCGCTTTCTGAATCGAAGTCTCAAGCTGTTTGCGTCTAAGAACATATGTTGTGCCGGTAGACAGCCTCCCAGCCTGCCGACGCCCCTGACATCCCCCGCCGCATCGCATAATGGCCAGTCCCGCGAAGAAGGCGCCACCGCTCAGTCAATGCCCCTGTAATAATATTTTAAAATAAATGATATGCATCATTAAATCACCGAGGATGACTAACTCAATTTTAGAAAACCCACAACTCCAGCAATCATAGTTACAGCTCTGATTTGAATATTTCCACTTTCACCTGAGCAGCCAGTGGGAGCCAGTCAAGCAGATTCGCATCCGGGCTGTAGTCTCTGAGGAGCAGAAAGGAACCCGTGATTATGTAGTTACAGTAAGGTAGGCTTGATGCCTCCCGGTCCGCCTGGGCTTTTTTAGACTTCTCCTTCCTCCCTTCTTGCCTTCTTATTTACATATCACAGGCATCCTCTTTGTAAAGTTATTTTAAATAATTTATTAGATTGATCTTTTTAAAATTCTACCCTGGCTAAATGTCATAAGGAGAAGAGGTGGGGGGAGAAAAAAAGTCTTCTAAACTTATTTAAAGGTTTCTTCTGGAGTAGGCCAGTTACCTGCTTCACTGCTGATATTCTAAAAATACCTCCATGTCCGTACTATTATCCATTCTTCACGTCCAATTGCTCTGTTATGGTGATAGTCAGAAGCACACCATGCAGTAATTACTTACAGCTGACTGAAGAAAAGAATATTCAACTCCCCCACTGTTCCAGGAGAAGGTCTTTATGCTCTATTAACTCATTCCTGTTTATTAATACTCTACTGGTAATTCAGACTGCTGCCTCTTAGGTTTGTAATAGGAGGACTATTAAACAGCAATTACTGACCATATGGGTTGGCGAATATTTGTTGTTTTTTTTGGTGGCGGGCTCTTCTTCCCCCACCTCCTTCCAACTGGTATTTTTTTTTTTTTAAGAAGCCATATTACAACACAGTAAAAGTAACATCACATCTGCATGAAATTAACAAGTCTGGCAGTATTTCTGCCTTAGAAAATGTGAATTTATTCCTATGTTATCATGGCTGATTTAGGAAAAAGAGGTCATGGGAGACATAGGGAAGTGTGGGAGTTTGTCCACATGTGGGAAGACCCCTACTTTGAAAGAGATCCTGGCACTTGTCTTCCCTAAGTCACCTGGCAGGCTGCCTCTTACTGCCTTTGAGAGGGCACTCACCCACCCTCAGGCATCCTCCACTTTGGAAAAATAAGCATATTTTCTGAGAAACCCAAAGCTAATACCTTTTTCCCTTGTATGTTCCCCCAAGCATTTGGAAGTGGTCACTTTAAAATTTAACATTTAGTAGATTCATCTCCCAAAAGCAGATATGTGAACCCTGGGAGTTGGCGCAAGTCTCCTCCTGGGAGAGGGTTGGCATGAGTAATGGGTTCAAGTGAGGCAGGCAGGTGGTAAACGATGATTATGGTGATAATAACATGTGCCTCTCTCCCAGGTAGTGAGCACTAAACACATGGCAAATATGAAGCACATTGAAATGGAGACGTGTCTTCGAGATAAAGAGGAGATCAGGAGCCAGTTTCCACTGGAAGATGCTGGGTTGTGATCCAGAGCATGTAAGTCACTTGATCAGGAGCCTTCACCAAGGCGGAGGCTGGAGTCTGGGCACCCTGACATAGCGGCTTTCCCTCCGGAGCAGCTGGTCCTCTCTCTGCCACTGGGACTTGTCTTCTACCTTCTATGCTTTCCCATAAAGTGTGCTCCTCTGGGTCTACGTCCTTTTAGCCCTTAAACAAACAGGACAAACCTCTGAGAACTCCAGCTGGCCCTAGTCTCAGCCTTTCCAAACTATTACTACTAAGTAGATTTGGCATTTACCTATGGTAGGGGTTCGCAGCTAATCTAACACTGTTCCTATGTTACCTGCTGGTGTTATGTGTGGAAGTCTCTTCTCTCAGACAGACTAAATCCTTGGAGACAAGGACTGCATCTTTTAAACTTTTTTCTCCCTGCAACTAGTTTGGAAATGGACACTCAATTGATGTTAACTAGAGACTGGAAGGATTTAATGGAAATATGTAAGGGAAAAAGGACATCAGACACTAAGTTTTCTTCCTCTAGGGATATGTATAAGCTACAGCTTCTGGGGTAAGTTTAAAAAGAAAAAGCAGTAACAAAAATAAACAACAAAATGTCAAATCACTGCCTCAAAGAGTAACAGTACTAAGTTAATGGAGAGAATATAATTGAATTGAATTGAATTACACCTGTTAAGACCCAAGATGTTTTTCACAGTATGTCTAAGCAATAGAGAAAAGAGATTTATTTCCTTTACAACCTTTGGATGAATTAGAATCCTCAGTAATGTATGGCCTAGAGAGCCCTCAAGGGGAAGAGGGCTTCTCTCACTTCCTGTGGTGGGCAACTTCAATAATACAGACTGTTCCCCAGCAGGCTCAGACCTACTTGATTGGTGTGATTGGAAAGGCTCTGTGAGTCCCAGCCTACCTCAGGATGCCTCATAGATTGGAGAAAATGCAATGCAATTTTGTTTTTATTACTACTGTTTTTAAAGTAGGGTTTTTTTTTGATTAAGCATATGCAGGATACTAAGGTAGATGAAAATAGAACAACTCTGATTGAAGTCAGGTTGGGGAGATGTGGATGCCTAATCTGATAATTCAGCTGATTAAACCATGGAAGTCCCTCTAAGAGATCCCAGTGTTCCTGGGAACACTATCTGAAAAGCATTTTTCTATTCCAACCCACTTTTGATACAAATGTGTTGACTGAATACATAATCTCAAATCCACATGGTTAGCTGACAACAGACTAAACTATGGAATCCAATCTTTTGGTTCCTTAGCCAAGATATTGTTTGTTTTGATTTTTCAATATCACCTACCTGTGTTAATGAATTAAGTCCTTGCCACAGCAGGCCATTGATAATAGGTACCTATGTGACTTTGGAAGACTTGGTCATCGCACCTCCTTTTAACACAAAACTGAGACAAGTTTAAAGTCCGATTAAGGACTTGATGAAGGAGGGATGGCCACTTGAGAATCTTAAATGACCACGTGAATATGAGGTGGAGGTAGCTGATTTCAACTTGGCCATCCCTGCACCTCCATAGTTGGAGTCTTGGCAGTGGCTTCAGCTCAGCTTGGCTGTCTGGTGTGTGCCTGCTCTTGGACCACGTGTTTACATTAATTTCAGTCCTGCCCGTGTTGAGAGGAGCTGCCTAAGGGACTTACGGAGGGTGCTGGGAATTATGCTGCTCCTACTCACAACATGGTGTAGATTATGATATGGTCTTTTATAGCATTTAAAAAATTGGAGGGCGTCTATATTGCAGATTGTCCTTTCATTCTTTCACTAACAGAGGCAGCAGGATGTAGAAGAGAATTATGGTATGGGCACTCAAGGGATCCATGTTCTCGACCAGATCTTTTCAACCATTAGCTGTGTGTTTGGGGGACATATTATTTAGCCTCTCTGCACCCCCATGCCCTCATCCGTGAAATAATGCCCTCTGGCTCAGATTTGTTTCTGAAATGCATTTTTCTTTACTGGGCCATTAAAAATTAATCTAATGCTCTCTATCTGATAACTCTGAGTTAAATTATATTAAAAGCAAAACAAATGATTATAAGCAGTTTTATGAATAAAATGCTTCTATATGCCAAGAGTTTTAAATTAGGCTCCATGACAAAAACATTTATGTCTGATATCAGAGAAAACTTGAGATAAGTCAGTAAGGATGGTATTAAGCCTTGTAAATATCATCCAACTGTGACTTGGAACTGTGGAACTGTCCCCATGAGTGAGAACATCTGGGCAGTCTGCTGGCTTAATTTCAGGCATTCCTTTATTCAATACATACTTGCTTTGTTCCTTCCATATCTCATTATTCAATTAATAAACATATATTCAGCCAATACCATTGAGTCATTCAATAAAGGGCATTCAGTGCATCTTGAAGGCGGAACCTGATACGTATATAACAAAGTTTTCATTGTTAGTAATAATAGTATCAATAGAAAGATACATTCCTGACTTTGAAGATCTACTACTCTTATTCAGGAGTGAGAATGTATATGGTAAAGAGATGGGTGGCTTCATATGACAGTACATGGATAGGGTCCAAGAGAAGGATACAGGCTATAAGGGACAGAAGTGAGGGGGTGTGGTTAGTTGTGTTAGAGTGAACAGAAAGTATTGAGGAATGTCTTCCATTGTTCCTTGACACATTATAATATTAGCACAGGTGAAGAGGAGAGGCCACTTGAGGTAGAACAGTCTGTGAAAAGCATCGAATTAGATAGGATTAAGAGGTATATGAATCTTCTAAAGATCCAGATCCATCTAGGCAGCAGGGTTTCTATGAGAGTGGGGCCAGGGATGGTATATCATCTTCCATTCTGGAAAAGTACTAACATTCAGGAGATGAGGTGTCCCTGATGGTCGAGTGACTAAGACTCAACCCTCCAAATGTAGGGGCCTCAGACATTACCCCTGGTCAGGGAACTAGTTCTGCAGGCTGCAACTAAGAGTTTACATGCTGCAACTAAAGTTCTCACATGCTGCAGCAAATATGGAGGATCCCACATGTCACAACTAAGACTCTACACAGCCAATTAAATAAGTAAATGTTAAAAAAAAAAAAGGGGCGGGGGGGGGAAGAATCTTAGCCTTTATCTCACAGGCACAGCGGTCCTTTTTTTCCTTTTTCTTTATAAGCTCTTTTTCTCTGTGGAAATGTTTTTATTAGTAAAATCACAGTAGAGTCTAAGAGAAAAGGAATAAGAAAAAGACTGCACAAAGCCACTTGGGGAGCAGGTGAGAAAGAGAGGCAATAAAACAGGAAACATGATGGAGACATGGAGGCAATGAAGTTTGGAAGGCAGGGAGAAGACTGAGCCTCCATTTCAGGGTTCAGTTCCTCTTGCTCCAGATACTGTGGGCTGGAAGGCAGTGTGGGGTGCCCAGGAGATGCCTGGAGGGGGATGCTGGAGAAAGACAGCAGAATAAAAGGAAGAGACCAGGAGAAGTTAAAATGGAGACAGAAAATCAGACAAGAATGAAGGATGAGAGGAACAAAGAGCACGTGGTCAATGAAGTAGAAGACAAAGGAAATTAATCAAAATTATGATGTGACAGGTTTGGAGTTCAACTCACAGATTCACAAAGTTCAACTCACAAATTTAACTATTCACAAATAGTTAAAATATGTAACTATTTTATGCAAATTATTCTCCTTTCATTTCATGCTAGCAATCTGCAGGAGGCAGAAATGTAATCTCTGTCACTGCAGCTTCGTTCCATTAAATCCCTAAGATTATCCCTCATTTCTGGGGCCTTCAATAGTACCAAGGTGATGGAGGGGGTGGGGTGGGGGGGCAGGGCATCTGCCCTTGATTGGACATCCATCCACTGGGCCTCTGTCAATCCTGCCATAGTCACCAATCCATACCGATCCACTGAGGCACAGGCATTCAGGGCCTCCCAGGACCTCTTCTGGGTCCCTCTCCTTCCATGGAAAATCATGGTGTTTGTGTGATACTGGGGATGAGGAAGTTCAGTAGATTGCTGTCTCCCTGGATAGGTCTTTTCTGCTCTGAGAAAGTTATGTCAGGGTTTTTGTCCCTTTGTTCCTCCTGTACCCCAGAGACCCAACCCCAGAGTAGGACCAACTTGTTACTCAGTTTTCTTCTCTTCTGCTCCAACTTTCCTCCTTCCCCCAAATGCAAGAAATTACAGATTGCCCTCTTAGCACATCTTTCCCTCTTATCTTCCCATCTCTGATGAGGCTGAATCATTTTATAGCTAGAAAAAGTGACACAGAGAGGTGATGACAGTTACTCAAAGTGGGCTTGTCAATGGCACAATGGGTAAAAATAAGAATATATTAGCTTGGGGAGTTCCCTGGCAAGCCAGTGGTTAAGACTTGGGCTTTCACTGTCATGAACCCAAGTTCGATCCCTGGTCAGGGAACTAAGATCCCACAGGCTGCACTGTGACTATCTTTCGTCCCTTCCTTCTTTTCTTTCTTCCTCCCTCCTCCCCCCTCCTTTCTCCCTTCCTTCTTTGTTTTCCTCTCTCTTCTCCTCTCTCTCTTTCTTTCTTCTTTCCTCCCTCTCTCCAAAAGGATTTTTTATGTGCCAGACAGTGTACAAGTACTGGGTGTACCATACTGAACAAATTATACTTAAATGAACACATTAAAGGATTGAAACCTATTGCTTTCACGAATTGCCAGTTTAGTTGGGGAGGTAGATATCAAACATCACATATGGAGACTCATAGTTAAATTGTGGTCAGTAAAATGGGTCTCTAAGAAAGTCGTAAGAAGGACCTAATTTAGACTATGCAATCCAGGAAGATCTTTCTGAGGAAGAGACGTCTGAGCTGAGACCTCACACAGGGCTGAGAGTGTTTCAGGTATAGGGAATGGCTTACGCAAAGACTCAGATGTATAGATCAGACTTGTGGACTCTGGGAGAAGGCGAGGGTGGGATGTTTCAAAAGAACAGCACTGAAACATGTATATTATCTAGGGTGAAACAGATCACCAGCCCAGGTTGGATGCATGAGACAAGTGCTCGGGCCTGGTGCACTGGGAAGACCCAGAGGGATCGGGTGGAGAGGGAGGTGGGAGGGGGGACTGGGATGGGGAATACATGTAAATCCATGGCTAATTCATTTCAATGTATGACAAAAACTACTGTAATGATGTAAAGTAATTAGCCTCCAACTAATAAAAATAAACGAAAAAAAAAAAAAGAAGACTTGGCATGTTCATCGAGTTCAAAAACACACCTGTGAGTGAACAATCTGAAAGGGGCAAAATGAAACATAATGCAGCTGGAGGATGAGAGAGGACCAAAGTCGACAGGGCTTTATTGCAAAGTTAAGAAATTTGGATTTTATTATAAGCTTAATTGAAAACAAAATTTAAGCTGTGAGTGACATAATCTGATTAACATTTGAAAAATATTATTCTGGCTGCTTGTGAAAAGTGGACTGAAGTGAGGAAGGATGGAAAAGAAGAGACCAATTGGGAGCTGGGGACTCTCTATGTACTCTTGTGGAGAGTGATGTGGGTTTGGAACAGGAGCCTAAAAGTGAGGTTGAAAGAAATGGAAGAATCAAGTCATACTTTGGAAGAGTTGGCAGATTACTGGATTTGAGATATTAGCAGGGACATTGTTCCCAAATTTCAGACAAGAATCATTCATTATTCTCTCTACTCTAGAAACCCTATTGAATCCCATTAAGATACAACTTCAGTTGTTATAATAGAAAACTATGTGAAATGACATTTTCTAGAATAGCAGATGTCAGTGCTTCAAGAATATATGGCTTTAAGATGACTATATATTTTTAAGGAGTATAAATTAGATAAGTGGATAAAGCAGGAATCTGGTATAAGAAATGTGTTTATAACCCCTAAGCCTATCCTTGGATACCAATTAATAATACATTTTTACCAAACAATTCCCAAAATTGTTATTAATATTGATCATCAGACACTTTTAAATTTTCAACCACGTTTGTCTCTTGCCTGTATTTGATCCCAGTGATAAATAAGGTGGATTTCTTCCCACACAATAGAAATAAATAGGGCTCTAGTAACTGATGACATCCGCTATAGGTCAAATGACAATTCAGAGCTAGAGAAATGACTGGATCCTTCATCTTTGTAACAATCACTGAGATCTAGACAGAGAGAAGACCTGCCTAACAATCCTTCTCATGTGTTCATTCATTCCAGTCTAGGTTGTTTTCACTGAGAATTTAGAAAGGCAATCTGTAAACTGGGCCATGGGCCTTGGTGAGAATTTCTCAAAGGTGATAAGGCCCATGATGGGAGCCTATAGAGCAAGGATGAAAGTAGCTATCAGTCTTTTACAGTAAGTGCTGTCAGTCCAACATCCACACTCATTTTAGGTCTTCCAGTTTCGGGCAGTTTGACACCCTAACAGAAGTTAGTTTAATTACCTTGGTAAATGACTCCATGTATGTTGTGGTTAGGCCTTCCCAGGTGGTGCTGGTGGTAAAAAACCCTGTCTGCCAATGCAGGAGATGCAGGAGATGTGGATTCGATCCCTGGGTCAGGAAGATCCCCTGAAGGAGGGCATGGCAACCCACTCCAGGATTCTTGCCTGGAGCATACCATGGACAGAGGACTGTGGCAGTCTGCAGTCCATAGGGTCATAAAGTGTTAGACATGACTGAAGTGACTTAGCACGCACAGGTTATTGTTATGGTAAGTAGATCTACCAAACAAAACAAAGCTGAACAGAAACAATGTTGGAGCAGGTGTTCTTGCTCTGGAGAAAATCTCTTAGAGTGACATCACTCCGCCACTTTGTTTCTCTAATAATTATGTATTATTATACTTACTAGAGACATCGCTTTTTTTTAGGTATTGCTTTCCTTCTGTCACCTTTTATAACTTTCACATCTAATATTTTCCCTCTTTGAGAAATGCCACAGCAGAAGCAATTTATGTTTGCAGAGAATGAGCCAGAGAATATTAATCCTATTTTGAATAAAGCTCTTTCCTGTGTTTACTCAGAAATCAGTATAACACTTAGCAAGACATTCTTGATATAGATTGCTTTTTATTTGATTTTCTCAAGTCCAAAAGGTTGCATTTTAGGGCTTATAGAAGATTAAAATGAAAACAAAGAAATATAATTGACAAATTTTTAAAAAATAATTAAAGCATTAAAATTTTTCAATTGAAAATTCTGAAAGGAAGAATATCTGTATTAAATGATGCTATGAATTTTAATAACAGATTAGGTACAGAAGTTCATAGATCATGTTTTTTTCCCCTGTGGAAAGAGCATTGATTCAAGGGAATGCCTTCCCCTCATCATACCAATGGGAGGAAGAAGGGTTCTATTTTCTAGGTATCTCATTTAGTAATGGAGAGGAAAAAGGATTCTATTTTCTAGGTATCTTATTTAGTAAAATTGAGCAAAGCTGGATTTAAAGCCTTTAATGAAGACAATAGAACTTGTTAAGTAACCAACTAATATTCTGCTGAAAACCTGACAACTCTCCACCCGCCTCGCAGAGCCTCTCAGTGGACTGTGGGTCTCATCCAACGTGCTTTTGATTTGGGTAATTCCAAGCCTACCCCATCTTCTTGCCACTTCGAGCAGCAATATCACGTTCAGGCAACCAACCGACACCTGGAGGAAGTGACTGTTCGATCTGCTGCTGGGAACGCACAGGAGACAGGATGTTAAAACTGAGCGGTCTCCTCAGAATTAGGGCATATGGTGCTCCTGCAGACTGGGCCCCACCCCCCAACCTCCCGCCTCTGAGAAGACGCTTCACTTCTTTTCATTCCCTAAAGGCTGGATCCAGTCAGCTTGGATGTGACATGAGAAAATACTATAGATGCAGCCAGAGTAATAATGTTCTTTTCCTACAATGATTATTGCAAACACCTCATGTCAAAAATAAGTGAACTCATCTTCAGAGTTAATAAGGACTGATGGTAGAAGGGGAAGGAAGGTGAGACTCGGAAATGCTGTACTTCACACATCTGCATCTTCTGAAGCCTGGTTTGGGTGGGGTGGGCTGGCTCAATTTGAAAGGAAGCAGGCCAAAATGAGAGGTAGATAATAAAAAGAAACATTACCAGGAAGTCTCCTCTATTGCTGATAGTTAATGTCATTTTTAGTGTCTAGTGTTGCCTCCGGAGAAGGCAATGGCACCCCACTCCAGTACCCTTGCCTGGAAAATCCCATGGACGGAGGAGCCTGGTAGGCTGCAGTCCATGGGGTTGCTAAGAGTTGGACACGACTGAGCGATTTCACTTTCACTTTTCACTTTCATGCATTGGAGAAGGAAATGGCAACCCACTCCAGTGTTCTTGCCTGGAGAATCCCAGGGACGGGGGAGCCTGGTGGGCTGCCGTCTATGGGGTCGCACCGAGTCGGACACGACTGAAGCGACGCAGCAGTAGCCGCAGCAGCAGCAGTCTGCCTCTAGAAACATCCAGTATACAAATTGTCATGGACACAGCCCCTTCAGAATTAGCCACTTTAAGGGAAATTTGAAATGCAGTGAGGATTTTGGGGGTGGGGAGTATACATACACTTAAATGGATAATTTGTCATTACCTGAGGCATTATTGGCATTGATAATGTTGCGCAGGGGTCTAGCATTTAGAGAATAGGCTACAAAAAAGTGGAGAGCAAAAACACAGCAGTGAGTGCATCGCATCCAAAGCCAATGTGATCACTGCTGCATCTACTCAAATGCAAACATTACTGTCTTTTGCATGTGTCATGCAATGCTCTAAGTCCCCTCTATGTATAAATTATTTAAGTCTTATAACAACAGGAGTTAATCCTATTTTATAGGAAGTGAAACTGAAGCACAGAAAGGCTGAGTAACTTGCTTATAGGAACATGGTATTCACTGGAGATCCAAAGCACAGTATTATGACTCTTCACCATGATGACTACCCTGAATCTGTAATGAAAAGCCTACATAGCAAATAGGCCATACATGGTTAATTAGCTTACCTGTAGGGCATTGTTCTAAGGGTTGACAAATTGATGGTTTCAGAATAATTCCATTATAGAAATAGTTTGTGAATAAATTGTTGAACAAATAGTGATATAATGCCATATTCGTTGTAATATATATTATGTTTTAGTTCTGTAGGACTTTATTGCCAAATGATATGTACTTTTTATTTCTTTTTTTCAAGAAAACCAGTTGTACTCATGAACTATTGGGCATACAAGGCACGTTGGTCAGTGTATATAGATTTGAATAAAATTACATTGAAGGATTGGGATCCTAGGTTTAAAACTGACTTGGATTTTTTTAAGGGGACCAGAAGTAATTCCTGTAATCTCTTTTATTCCATAATCTCTGTGTCTTATGCTGACAAATTTTGATTAGGAATTGTACAAAATTCATTCTAAAAATATAGATGTTCTATTTTGCCAAAGGTATTACCTTAAAACTATGTCTAAATTTCATTTGTCTTCTAGGAAACACAATAAAGAGAAGAGCCCAAGGATTTGAGGGGAGGTTTGGAGCATGGAGATGGAGGAATATCACTCTGAGGAGAAGTGAAGATGCTTCCTCCTCCCTGGTTCGCCTGAGTGTACAGTGTCCAGCGAAAGTGATGAAGGGATGGTGCTTGTCAAGTGTGCACAGGCAGTGGCATCCTCACTTTTTGAACATCTACAGATGCTGTTGTAGATGTTTTTTCAGCTCTCTCTTCACCATAGACACAGCTTGGTATACTTTGGCAGAACTTTTACCTCTTACTTCACCCTCAAAGATGAATAAGGCCAAGGTCAGCAATGGTATAAATGGAATGAATGAAAGCAAATGAGTGCAATGAGAAGCATCTACTTAACCTCAGGAAGATAGACAGATAGATCTTTCCTAAATTGGTGGATAAGTATGGAGCTATTCAATGGATCCTTATGTGATTGTTCCTTCCTAGTTTTAGTAAAATATTCCAATTTGGGAGAAATTCCTTTCCTTGTCAATAAAATATAAAAAGAAGAAAATGTTAAAATATTTGCAGCCCTGTCTCTAGAATTTCATGCTAATTTTGCCTCTCTCTCTTCTCTTGATTATTTTTTTTATGCAAAGTATTCTTGTATGTTTCTTTCATTGTATTTTTCATGAAGAAAGTATAGTGATTATCTAAGATAACCAGACAAGATCAAGGGGCACCTTTCTCTGTGAAGTGCTTCCAGATTTGTTTAGATGTAATGCTCTTGAAGGCAATAGGTATGCCTATTTTGTTTTTATTGGTATCTGTGTACATATTAGGCATACAGTAATTTATCTGACTATATCAATTAATGAGCAAACAAGAATAGATGACAAAAGCAGATGTTTTTGTAAGGCTCTCAAAAATGATTTAGAGAACATTTTGGAATTCAAGTTAAAAAAATTCACTCAAATGAGATTTGGGGGGATTTCATGTGATTAACTCTTTACATTATCTTGTAGTAATTATACAGAAATCTCTATTTATGTAAACACAGTGAATGCATCATAACACTAGAATAAGTATACAAATACTGCATGTCAAATTAGGTTATAATCACTTTCAAGGGACGTGATTTCCTAGTTAAACAGATTCGTTTACATCTTGTGAAATAAAAAATAAGTGAAAATAACTATATAAAATCAGGCTTACAGCTGGACAGATCTTCTTGGCAATGGTCCAGGCACTGAGTGGGGAAAGCCCCTCCAGCTGAGGAATGTTCAGGATGCCCAGGGTGGCTTCATAGGCTCGGCCTAGAGAGGGGTCTTGGGCTGCTGTCCTGCCTATTTCCTGTCCCTAGGTGCCTGTGGAGAAGATGAGCTGCCTTAACATTTAAGATAAGACTCTCACTGTGACGGGTTTGGGATGGAATGGAAACTTGCTCAGTAGAGGAGAAAACAAAGTCAGCTCAATAATACATTCTCAGGTAAACAGCATAATAGAGTGAGTTGGGGACCCTCTAAACAAAAACCAGATAGGCGAAGCTAGCACTGGAATCATAGGAGTTTAGAGTCAAGGTTTGTGTATCACAGACCATATGGTCCAATCTTTGTAATACTGATGGGGTAACTGGCCAAACAAAAGGCAAGGAGCAGTACCAAGACTGAGACCCAGAATGTTTCCTCCCAAATCAGGTGCTTATTTATGACATAATTCAAGTTCATCTTATCAAGGGAAATCATCTTTCAAAAATTAATCATTTTGATACACATCTTTAAAAAGTACATTTTGCATTGACCTAACATACCCAACATTTCCCGCAATGTTTCTTTATGTTGATGGCAGAGGGCACAACTGTAAAGCTCAGTTATTACATGGCATCATCCAAATTGGGAAAGAAGTATGTCAAGGTTGTATATTGTCACCCTGCTTATTTAACTTATATGCAGAGTACATCATGCAAAATGCTGGGCTGGATGAAGCGCAAGCTGGAATCAAGGTTGCTGGGAGAAATATCAATAACCTCAGAAATGCAGATGACGCCACCCTTATGGCAGAAAGTGAAGAAGAAACTAAAGAGCCTCTTGATGAAAATGAAAGAGGAGAGTGAAAAAGTTGGCTTAAAGCTCAACATTCAGAAAACTAAGATCATGGCATCCGGTCCCATCATTTCATGGCAAATAGATGAGGAAACAGTGGAAACAGTGGATGACTGTTTTGGGGCAGGCTCCAGAATCACTGCAGATAGTGACTGCAGCCATGAAATTAAAAGACGCTTACTCCTTGGGAGAAAAGCTATGACCAACCTAGACAACATATTAAAAAGCTGAGACATTACCAACAAAGGTCCATCTAGTGAAAGCTATGGTTTTTCCAGTAGTCATGTATGGATGTGAGAGTTGGACCATAAAGAAAGCTGAGTGCCAAAGAATTGATGCTTTTGAACTGTGGTGTTGGAGAAGACTCTTGAGAGTCCCTTGGATTGCAAGGAGAACCAACCAGTCATTCATAAAGGAAATCAGTCCTGAATATTCATTGGAAGGACTGATGCTGAAGCTGAAACTCCAATACTTTGGCCACCTGAGGTGAAGAACTGACTCATTGGAAAAGGCCCTGATGCTGGGAGGGATTGGGGGCAGGAGGAGAAGGGGACAACAGAGGATGAGATGGTGTGGTGGCGTCACTGACTTGATGTCCGTGATTTTGAGCAGGCTCCAAGTGTTGGTGCTGGACAGGGAAGCCTGGCGTGTTTCAGTCCGTGGGGTTGCACAGAGTTGTACATGACTGAGCGACTGAACTGAACTGAGCTGATCATAATATGGTGTCATTCTCTATGGCTAATTATGCAGCGAATTTTGCCTTTTGCTAAGCGTTAGTAGGGCTTCCCTGGTGGCTCAGATGGTAAGCAGGCTGTGTTTGTTTATCTTGCCCCTCTGTCCCCACCATATTCATCTACTACTTATTCTTGTTGATTATAAGAACTAACTAAAACTGTAAGGATTCTGCTTGGATGTAGCTCCATGTTTATGCTATTAAGTTTTTTGTTTGTGTGGTCTCGAGATTATACACACACACACACACACACACACACACATACACACACATATATATCATACTTATGTTTTGTTCAAAATACATGTTGAGCACTTACTGTGTGCCGTGACATGCATACATTAGTTTCTGCCCATGTTCCATGGTCGAATTATCCTGAGTAGGGCTTGGCAAACTATGGCCTGGGAGCCAGATCTAGCCTACTGCCTGTTTTTGTCAATAAAGTTGTATTGGAGCACCATCATGCTCATTTATTTGCATATTATCAATGGTTGTTTCTGTACCACAACAGCAGAGCTGAGTAGTTGTAATGAAGAAGATATGGCTCATAAAAACTGAAATATTTGCCATTTGTCTCTTAACACAAATGTTGCCAATCCATGATCTTGAGTGAACCCTCGATTTTCTAGCTGGCTTGGTAAGAGAGCCAAATAAAATAGATGACATTACATTGTAACTGGACTTTGCTGATGGCCCAGTGGCTAAGACTATGGGCTCCCAATACAGAGGGCCCAGGTTCAATCCCTGGTCAGGGAACTATATCCTGCATGCTGCAACTAAAGATACCATGTGCTATAACACATGCCACAACTAAAGATAAGGACCTAACAAAAGCAGGAGAGATTAGGAAGAGGTTTCAAGAATACACAGAAAAACTGTTTAAGAAAAGTCATAGTGACTTGGATAACCACGATGGTGTAGTTACTCACCTAGAGCTAGACATCCTTGAGTGTGAAGTCAAGTGGGTCTTAGGAATCATTACTATGAACAAAACTAATGGAAGTGATGAAATTCCAACTAAGCCATTTAAAAATCCTAAAAGATGATGTTGTTAAAGTATTGCACTCAATATGTCAGCACATTTGGAAAACTTAGCAGTGGCCACAGGATTGGAAAAGGTTGGTTTTCATTCCAAGCCCAAAGAAGGGCAATGCCAAAGAATGTTCCAACTGCCATACAATTGCACTCACTTTACATGCCTGCAGGGTTATGCTCAAAGTCCTTCAAGCTACACTTCAATAGTACTTGAACCAAGAACTTCCAGATGTACAAGCTGGATTTAGAAAAGGCAGAGGAACTAGAGATCAAATTGCCAACATTTGTTGGATCATGGAGAAAGCAAGGGCATTCCAGAATAACATCTACTTCTGCTTCATTGACTATGCTAAAGTCTTTGACTATGTGTGTATGTGTGTGTGATAGTCACTCATTCATGTCCTACTCTTTGCGACCCCATGGGATGCAGTCCACCAGATGCCTCCATCCATGGGATTCTCCAGGCAAGAATACTAGAGTGGGTTTCCGTTTCCTTCTCCTGCTTTGACTGTGTGGACTGCAACAAAACATGGAAAATTCTTAAAGAGATGAGAGTACCAAACCACCTTATCTGTTTCCTGAGAAACCTGTATCTGGGTTAAGAAACAGCAGTTAAAACTAGACATGAAACAAATGACTGGTTAAAATTGGTAAAGGAGTATGACAAGGCTGTATATTGTCACCCTGCTTATTTAACTTATATGCAGAGTATATCATGTGGAATACTGGGCTGGATGAGTTATAAGCTGGAATCAAGATTTTCCTGAGAAATGTCAGCCTCAGATATACAGATGATACCACTTTAATAGTAGAAAGTGAAAAGGAACTAAAGTGCCTTTGACGAGGATGAAAGAAGGGAATGAAAAGGCTGGCTTGAAACTCAACATGAAAAAACAACAACAACTAAGATCATGTCATCTGGTCCCATCACTTCATAGAAAATAGAAGGGACAAAAATTAGAATCAGTGACAGATTTTCTTTTCTTGGACTCCAAAATCACTGTGAGTGCAGCCATGAAATTCAAAGATGTTTGCCCTTTGGAAGGAAAGCTGTGACCAACCTAGACAGTGTATTAAAAAGCAGAGACATCACTTTGCCAATAAAAGTCTGTATAGTAAAAGCTATGGTTTTTCCAATAGTCAAGTAGGGATGTGAGAGTTGGACCATAAAGAAGGCTGAGTGCTGAAGAATTGATGCTTTCAAACCATGATGCTAAAGAAGACTCTTGAGAGTCTCTTGGGCTTCAAGGAGATCAAACCAGTCGATCTTAAAGGAACTCAACCCTGAATATTCATTAGAAGAACTGATGCTGAAGCTCCAATCCTTTGGTCACCCAATTAAAAATTGAAGGCAAAAGGAGTAGGGGGTGGCAGAGGACAAGATGGTTAGATAGCATCACTGACTCAATGGACATGAATTTAAGTAAAATCCAGGAGATAGTGAAGGACAGAGGAGCGAGGTGTGGTGCAGTCCATGGGGGTCACAAAAAATTGGACAGGACTTAGCAAC